TGTAAAGATGCACTCTTTGAATTTCAATATGCAATACAAACAATGTAAATATGAAACTGCTATTTTATAACTTGAATAATATGAAATACTTTGATTTTTAATGTGCAATACAAATAATGTAAAGATGATTTCAATGAGAGGACTAGTTTGTATGTGATCCCACCCCTGTATAATATGATGCATATATATGGAGCGGTTCCGGTAAGAACGGACTCCCAGGAGAGAAATAAGAATGAATCTAGACCGTTGGATTGTATTATGTGGAACGGAAATGTGCATTTGATGAAACTGAAATGTGTATTACATGATACCGAAATGTGCAGAATAAAAATTTAAACACAATTGTGCATTAGGTGAAACTGAAATGTGCGGAATAAAATGTACAAAAATAACATCACATCGTACCTCTTATTCGCACATTTCAGTTTCACCTAGTGCACATTTCAATTTCACCTAATGCACAATTCAGCTTCACTTAATGACATTGTATCATACGCTTTGTGTTGCACATTTCAATTTCAGCTAATGCACATTACAATTTCATCTAATGCACAATGGATTTCACTTAAAGCAAATCTAGCTGATGCACACTAATTAGTAGTGCATAATTATATGTTTTTATGTTTGATTTATGTTGATTGTTTGACGTTTTATTTAGTTTGTAAACATTTATGTGATTTCAGTTGTAATTGTATTTTAGTCTTTTTTTATAAGTTGTAAAGTATAGTTAGGATTTGTGGTGTTGGAAAGGAAGACTTTGAAGAGAAGAAAACAAGAAATTTGACTGCCCAGGAGTAAAACCCGACCGGGTAGAAACCCCCACCCGGTCGGGTATGATTTAACAGACGAAATTGCCAAGAAAGTCACTGGACCGGGTCGGGTCCCCTACTTGACACGGTCGGGTCAGATGTGACCCGGGACAAAACGACGTGCGAAGATCACCAGAACGTGGCGGATTATCTGATTTTGACCGGACCCGGTCGGGTAACGTAAGTACTTGACCCGGTCGGGTACCCGGCCAAAGGTGTTGAAAAACACCTATAAATAGCACACTTTTCTTCTCTAAAAATCATCCCTTCTTATATACTCTTAAACTCAGTTTAGAATAGCATTTCTTTATATTTTTCTAGCTATGTTTAGTCTCCAAATGAGGAACTAAACTTCCATTCTTGGTGTTGCTCTTGAAGCTTGTTGATTATTAAAGTTGTGAGTTATTTTCTTAACCTCTTCCCTTGAATATTATTTAATAGTTCTTTCCTTAATACCATCTCTATATTAATGTTGGGGAGTGTTGCTAAGATGACAATTAGTTAACATCTCAACATTAGTTAGAATGGTATTTTCTTCCTCTATATTAATGTTGGGGAGTGTTCCTAAGATGACAATTAGTTAACATCTTGATATTAATTATAGTAGGATTCATCTTCTTTAATAATATTCTTCCTTGAATATTAATTAATTCCTACTCATATTTCATATTAATATTTTGAACACTACTTAAAGGATCAACTAGTTTTGTTTCATATATTAATTATTACTACAAACGATCAACGAATCGATGGTTAATCGTTGATGGTTTCACAAGTAAGTAACTTCGGTTTGTTAATGCACGGTCGTGGTTAATAAACTTAAGAGGGATTAATTTTGTTGGTTAAACCAAAACCGTTGTGTTGAGGTTATCAATCTCAATTGAATGCTACTATTAAATCGGTATAAGGCGTTGTTCTATATTTGATTAAAAGTAAGGGTTATTAATGAACGGTTGTTGTTAATAACTACCCTCGATGAAGTGGATATACTCCCCGATTGAGTATTCGAGAGGGAATAAGTTATAGATATAACAATGATCGACTAAAATATATCAACAAGTGGAAAGTAGCAATGCCAAGTCCTTTTTATCTTTGAATTAAACACATATAGGTTGTTCATCTTAGTTCTTAATTAAATTAAATCACTCAATCCAAATCCCCCCTTTTATTTACTAAGTATCATAAAAAGAGAATCATTCCTTTCCCTGTGGATACGAACTCTACTACGCTATACTACATATAAGTGTTTAGTATTGAATTTATTTTGACGCACCGTGACAAAGTGCATCGTCAAATTTGGCGCCGTTGCCGGGGAAAGGCAATTATTTTTCTTTTTATTTTATCTCATAAAAATAAAAATAAAAAATATATATATATATATAAAAATAAAAAAAAAATCTATTTTCTGAGCTTACATGAGTAAATGGATACCAACACATCATCCCTAGAGAGTCAAATTTCCGACTTGACTTCTCTAATAAAGGAGTTTATCTTATGTTCAAAATCTCAAGATGTCCATACATGCAACATTTGCATGTCACAAAGGCATCTTACAGATTTTTGCCCAGAGCTTCGAGAAGAATTCTTTGAACAAAGGAATGGTGTTGGTTTCCAAGAGAGATATGATTCATTCTCCAACATATATAGCCCATACTCATGTTCTTATTCCAGCATGTCCACTGAAAATATGATCCGAGCTCTCACTATCAATGTGACAAATATGCAACAAAATATGTCACAATGTTCGCAAGAAGCAATGTCCAACGAACAGAACTTGGACAATCAGTTGAAACAAATGCCAAGCATTGTGAACCACATGGGCGAGGAGGAGGAAGAAGAGGAGCTTACGGAGAAAGCTCAACTGGAGGAAGAACCTCAAAACTCAACTCAACCACCGGCCATTCCTGAGATCATGCCACCATTTCCTGAGGCTCTAAGGGAAACACAAAGGGTGGAGAAGGACAAAGATATCTATGAAATCTTCAGCAATTGTGAGTATAATTTAGACTTCTCTTTGTTAACAAATAAACAAGGAATAACGGTGGGATTACACAAATATTTAATACTCCCTCTTATACCACCCGGATCAAAACCCCTTCCATTGACCATGCTCAATGAAAATCATGGACCAACACTCTCACAATATGAAGCGATAGAAATCTGGATATTTGATCCCGGAAAGGTCAAAATAAAGGGTCGAAAAACTGAGTCTTTCTATAAGAGTCACCCGGGTGAAAATTTGAAGAAGATGAGTTATCACGATCCAAGCTTGAACGATTGAACACAACCATGGCGTCATGCCGCGACGTTAACTAAGGCGCTTCTTGGGAGGCAACCCAAGCAAGGTACATTTACTTGTTTTTTTTACACATTTCAAAAAAAAAACCTGGGATTGAACCCGGCCGGGTATAAAACCCCACCCGGTCGGGTTACCTCTAAAAACAAAACACCCGGCCAACCACCCGGGCGAGGCAAGAGCGGAACAAGAATAAATCAAACACCCGACCGGGTAGACCCCCATACCCGGTCGGGAAACCCAGCAAACACTTTCTGCCTCGGGTGAACAGTTTACACCCGACCGGGTAGACCCCCATACCCGGCCGGGCAATCCAACAAAAACCCTCTGGCTCCGGTGAACAGCTTACGCCCGACCGGGTAAAATACCTCACCCGACCGGGCGAACGGGTAAAATACCTCACCAGGTCGGGCTCACCTCTTCCCCATTTTCTTTTCTTCCCATTCGAACCACACCCCAAATTTCCTCCATTTCCAAAAGTCAAAAGCTTCATATCTCCTACATCCATCCACCAATTAAACCCATTTCATTCATCACCTCTTCACCCTTTTCAATTTCACACCCACGAATCACCAACAAAACCTCCCAAAAAGTAACAAAAAAAACATTCATCTCAGACAAAAGCACTAGGGACAGTGCTTTGATTAGCTTGGGGGAGAGTTTTATGGAATACTCACATTCATACTCTTTATTCTTGTAAAAAAAATTATAAAAGCTTGTTAAGTTGAAAACCCGAAAGGGCAACTTAAGCAAAAATAAAGCAAAAATAAGAGTGAGTTGTGAGGATTAAAACAAAAAAATGTGGGAAGCTGGGATGAAAACTCGAAAGGGCACCTAGGCAAAATGAGAGAACGAGAGAAAGTATTTTCTTTTATTTCTGCAGGATCCTAAGGGTAACGAAAAAAAAAGGTTGAGGTTGATACAGAAATGTGGAGTTGAAGACCCTCTTTACTTTTATATTTTTAAGGATATACTTTATGCGTTTCTAAAAACACTCGTGATGTGTGTTGATATTCTTGTCATTTTAAGGACTTCTTGGACCGGATTTGATTTACTCGAGACGAGTAAAGGTTTAAGTGTGGGGGTGTTTGATGCACACTAATTAGTAGTGCATAATTATATGTTTTTATGTTTGATTTATGTTGATTGTTTGACGTTTTATTTAGTTTGTAAACATTTATGTGATTTCAGTTGTAATTGTATTTTAGTCTTTTTTTATAAGTTGTAAAGTATAGTTAGGATTTGTGGTGTTGGAAAGGAAGACTTTGAAGAGAAGAAAACAAGAAATTTGACTGCCCAGGAGTAAAACCCGACCGGGTAGAAACCCCCACTCGGTCGGGTATGATTTAACAGACGAAATTGCCAAGAAAGTCACTGGACCGGGTCGGATCCCCTACTTGACCCGGTCGGGTCAGATGTGATCCGGGACAAAACGACGTGCGAGGATCACCAGAACGTGGCGGATTATCTGATTTTGACCGGACCCGGTCGGGTAAGTACTTGACCCGGTCGGGTACCCGGCCAAAGGTGTTGAAAAACACCTATAAATAGCACACTTTTTCTTCTCTAAAAATCATCCCTTCTTATATACTCTTAAACTCAGTTTAGAATAGCATTTCTTTATATTTTTCTAGCTATGTTTAGTCTCCAAATGAGGAACTAAACTTCCATTCTTGGTGTTGCTCTTGAAGCTTGTTGATTATTAAAGTTGTGAGTTATTTTCTTAACCTCTTCCCTTGAATATTAATTAATAGTTCTTTCCTTAATACCATCTCTATATTAATGTTGGGGAGTGTTACTAAGATGACAATTAGTTAACATCTCAACATTAGTTAGAATGGTATTTTCTTCCTCTATATTTTTTTTGGATGAAATGTAAGTATATATTAACACCCAAAGAAATAACAAGTCAATGTTACAAATAAAGTGCATATCCCGAAACATGGGATACCACAACATCAATATAGGAATCCTCACAAGTCAACAAAATGCACCTAAAAACATTAGGAGCAAAATAAACTCAAGAAACTGGTTCACCAAACAAAAATTAGGAACCCCTAATTTAACCTCCAAAGAACGTACGGAAAGGAGTAGTGAACTTTGAATCAAAGCAAACCTCCCCTCTCTTCTTAGTAACCCCCGGCAACCTCTCAAGACAATGGGTGGTGAAAGTTAGGCCCTTCTTATCCAAGTCATCCGTAAGTCGAAAAGAGGTATCCACTCTAATGACACTAGCATGGACGTACTTAAATGGTTTAACAATCAACTTGAGCGTCTTACCGTTTATGATCTCACAAATAATGACAACATCATCTTGTTTCAAATCACTTTCATTTCTCACAGTCCTCCCCCTAGCTTCGAGAAACGCAGCAGCAGGATGAACATGGGTTGGTACAAGCACAGCAGCACCGGCTTCTTCAAACGCAGCAGGAAGTTCTTCTTGGGCAGTTTTAGTTTCAAGCGTAGGAGCAGGTGTAGCATTCCTATCAAGCGTAGCAGCAGGTTGTTTGATGACCTCCTGGGTAGGAGCTGCAACCCCTTTAGCAGATGGAATAGCAACAGCAGCCATATCATCTTTGGCAGACCCCTGGGAGGAGAACTGCTCTGTATACCCGATCGGGTCAGTGCAGCACCCGGTCGGTCGGGCAGCAGGAGATTCAGGCACCTTGGCAACAATCAGAGATCCGGTTGGGCCAGGGGGGAGCTTGGTCGGGCATCCCTGAGCAGTAGCTACTGGCCGGCTATCCACCAAAATAGAAGCCTCATTTTCTCCATCCTCCTGTATGGCTAGCTTCTTACAAATAAAAGGGTGGTGCCCAAATTCTTTGCAATGAAAGCAAAAGTTAGGAAAAGTTTCATAAACTACACTTTGCTTGATTACCTTTCGGGAAGGTAGTCGTATAGGAAAATGTAGTGGTGGTGGCTTTGTGAGATCAACCTCAATTAGAACTCTAGCAAAATCATTGTTAGCCCTCTCTTGAGTGATCTTGTCCGTGGTAATTGGGACCCCGACCCTAGATGCCACCTCACTCATAGCCTCATCATTCCATAAACACATTGGTAGTTTAGGAAACTTGATCCAAATTGGTATTTTAAGAAATTCCTCATCCTCAAAAGTGAAGTCCTCTGAAAGTTCTTTAAGCATTAGGAGCTTCCCAAACACGGTGTAAGGTCCCCCATGTAGTACCTTCGATCTATCCTCCCCATCTTGAAACTTAAAAATAATCCACCCCTTATTATGGGACCGTACAAAACATTTTACACCCCATGAAGCTTTCAAATCATGGACCGCTTTGAGTCCGGGGAATTTTCCGGTGAAGTGTCCCACTAGACAGTGTCCCCACATTTCAACCATCGAGGGTAGTACTCGGTCCCCAAAATCCACTATTTCACCTTTCGGTGGAACATACTTCAACTTAATCCCAATTTTTGGGTCACAGTTGTCTTTAAACAAAGAGTTCCAAGGTGGTATTATTGTTGAAGTTTCTGCCAGTTTCAAGTGTTTCACAGCAGTGGCTTTGCCATTGATTAGCCGAGTAGAAGTAACTGGCCCAGTTATAGCAGCAGGTGATTTGCCAGGCAATTCAGCAGCAGGTGATGCAGTCCCAGGTGTGTCAAACGTAGCAACCAGTTGAGGGAAATTCACCTCAGGAGATGGACAAGTATCAGGGACACCAGCAGCAGGATTCCCAGGCTTCTTGCCATTCCCAGAATTTTGGCCAGGTACAATCTGCCTAGTTGCAATAGCAGCAGTGGTTCCAGCGCTAAGACCTGCAGTTTTACCAGCAGCAACCAGAGTTGATTTCTCCACAATTCCAGTAGCTTGAACTTCATGTGCTATCACAGGGACAACACCCTTTACAACCTGCGAATTTGTAGCAGGTTTCCTCGCTGGTGAAAGCCCAGGCTTGGTAACAGCACCAAGTTCAGGGAAATCTCCCTCAAGTGTATCAAGAACAACAAATCTGGGGGATGACCTGGTGACAATTGAGGATCCCCCAGCCCCATTTTGTTTCGTCCTTGCCATAGAAACAGAACCAGAAAGCAGAGTAACGGATTCAGCTTAAAGCTACAGTAATCGACACTTGAGGTCGCGGAGGAACAGTAAACGCAAACCGTTCCTGATTCCTCAAAAACAACGACATTCAATAACAGACTCTACAGCACAGGACGACGAGTCCCAAACAACATTAGCACTCAAGCACAGACAAAGAACCTGCGAAAATTCGCCTAAAATCGATTTAGGTTTTCTAGGTCTGAAACCGGTCTTCCAGTGATTCAGGCTGAGTCGGAAATCAGAGAACTCCTGGAAATCATTCAGCGAACAGTAGGAAACCAGCTCAAACTCGGCGAGAGACATCGTTGCACGTGAATCTGGAACGGAGGTTCCAGCGAGAGAAGCAGCTCTCAACACGCGACATTTTTTTTCAGGGGCTGGTTTCAAAATCAGAGTTGAAAGCGGAAGGAGATGTCTTCCCACAACCGCTGAACCGCATCACAAAATTAGGGATTCCTAATTTTTGTTTTGGTGAACCAGTTTCTTGAGTTTATTTTGCTCCTAATGTTTTTAGGTGCATTTTGTTGACTTGTGAGGATTTCTATATTGATGTTGTGGTATCCCATGTTTCGGGATATGCACTTTATTTGTAACATTGACTTGTTATTTCTTTGGGTGTTAATATATACTTACATTTCATCCAAAAAAAAAATATAGAGGAAGAAAATATCATTCTAACTAATGTTGAGATGTTAACTAATTGTCATCTTAGCAACACTCCCTAACATTAATATAGAGATTGTATTAAGGAAAGAACTATTAATTAATATTCAAGGGAAGAGGTTAAGAAAATAACTCATAACTTTAATAATCAACAAGCTTCAAGAGCAACACCAAGAATGGAAGTTTAGTTCCTCATTTGAAGACTAAACATAGCTAGAAAAATATAAAGAAATGCTATTCTAAACTGAGTTTAAGAGTATATAAGAAGGGATGATTTTTAGAGAAGAAAAAGTGTGCTATTTATATGTGTTTTTCAACACCTTTGGCCGGGTACCCGACCGGGTCAAGTACTTACCCGACCGGGTCCGGTCAAAATCAGATAATCCGCCACGTTCTCGTGATCTTCGCACGTTGTTTTGTCCCGGGCCACATCTGACCCGACCGGGTCAAGTAGGGGACCCGACCCGGTCCAGTGACTTTCTTGGCAATTTCGTCTGTAAAATCATACCCGACCGGGTGGGGGTTTCTACCCGGTCGGGTTTTACTCCTGGGCAGTCAAATTTCTTGTTTTCTTCTCTTCAAAGTCTTCCTTTCCAACACCACAAATCCTAACTATACTTTACAACTTATAAAAAAAGACTAAAATACAATTACAACTGAAATCACATAAATGTTTACAAACTAAATAAAACGTCAAACAATCAACATAAATCAAACATAAAAACATATAATTATGCACTACTAATTAGTGTGCATCAAACACCCCCACACTTAAACCTTTACTCGTCTCGAGTAAATCAAATCCGGTCCAAGAAGTCCTTAAAATGACAAGAATATCAACACACACATCCACGAGTGTTTTTAGAAATGCATAAAGTATATCCCCAAAAATATAAAAGTAAAGAGGGTCTTCAACTCCACATTTCTGTATCAACCTCAACCTTTTTTTTTCGTTACCCTTAGGATCCTGCAGAAATAAAAGAAAATACTTTCTCTCGTTCTCTCATTTTGCCTAGGTGCCCTTTCGGGGTTTCATCCCAGCTTCCCACATTTTTCTGTTTTAATCCTCACAACTCACTCTTATTTTTTCTTTATTTTTGCTTAAGTTGCCCTTTCGGGTTTTCAACTTAACAAGCTTTTATAATTTTTTTACAAGAATAAGGAGTATGAATGTGAGTATTCCATAAAAGTCTCCCCCCAAGCTAATCAAAGCACTGTCCCTAGTGCTTTTGTCTGGGATGAATGTTTTTTTTTGGTTACTTTTTGGGAGGTTTTGTTGGTGATTCGTGGGTGTGAAATTGAAAAGGGTGAAGAGGTGATGAATGAAATGGGTTTAATTGGTGGATGGATGTAGGAGATATGAAGCTTTTGACTTTTGGAAATGGAGGAAATTTGGGGTGTGGTTCGAATGGGAAGAAAAGAAAATGGGGAAGAGGTGAGCCCGACCTGGTGAGGTATTTTACCCGTTCGCCCGGTCGGGTGAGGTATTTTACCCGGTCGGGCGTAAGCTGTTCACCGGAGCCAGATGGTTTTTGTTGGATTGCCCGGCCGGGTATGGGGGTCTACCCGGTCGGGTGTAAACTGTTCACCCGAGGCAAAAAGTGTTTGCTGGGTTTCCCGACCGGGTATGGGGGTCTACCCGTTCGGGTGTTTGATTTATTCTTGTTCCGCTCTTGCCTCGCCCGGGTGGTTGGCCGGGTGTTTTTTTTTTAGAGGTAACCCGACCGGGTGGGGTTTTATACCCGGCCGGTTTCAATCCCAGGTCTTTTTTTTTGAAATGTGTAAAAAAAAAACAAGTAAACGTACCTTGCTTGGGTTGCCCCCCAAGAAGCGCCTTAGTTAACGTCGTGGCACGACGCCATGGTTGTGTTCAATCGTTCAAGCTTGGATCGTGATAACTCATCTTCTTCAAATTTTCACCCGGGTGACTCTTATAGAAAGACTCAGTTTTTCGACCCTTTATTTTGACCTTTCCGAGATCAAATATCCAGATTTCTATCGCTTCATATTGTGAGAGTGTTGGTCCATGATTTTCATTAAGCATGGTCAATGGAAGGGATTTTGATCCGGGTGGTATAAGAGGGAGTATGAAATATTTGTGTAATCCCACCGTTATTCCTTGCTTATTTGTTAACAAAGAGAAGTCTAAATTATACTCACAATTGCTGAAGATTTCATAGATATCTTTGTCCTTCTCCACCCTTTGTGTTTCCCTTAGAGCCTCAGGAAATGGTGGCATGATCTCAGGAATGGCTGGTGGTTGAGTTGAGTTTTGAGGTTCTTCCTCCAGTTGAGCTTTCTCCGTAAGCTCCTCTTCTTCCTCCTCCTCGCCCATGTGATTCACAATGCTTGACATTTGTTTCAACTGATTGTCCAAGTTCTGTTCGTTGGACATTGCTTCTTGCGAACATTGTGACATATTTTGTTGCATATTTGTCACATTGATAGTGAGAGCTCGGATCATGTCTTCAGTGGACATGCTGGAATAAGAACATGAGTATGAGCAATATGTGTTGAGGAATGAATCATATCTCTCTTGGAAACCAACACCATTCCTTTGTTCAAAGAATTCTTCTCGAAGCTCTGGGCAAAAATCCGTAAGATGCCTTTGTGACATGCAAATGTTGCATGTATGGACATCTTGAGATTTGAACATAAGATAAACTCCTTTATTAGAGAAGTCAAGTCGGAAATTTGACTCTCTAGGGATGATGTGTTGGTATACATTTACTCATGTAAGCTCAGAAAATAGATTTTTTTTTATTTATATATATATATATATATATATATATATATTTTATTTTTATGAGATAAATAAAAAGAAAAATAATTGCCTTTTCCCGGCAACGGCGCCAAATTTTACGATGCACTTTGTCACGGTGCGTCAAAATAAATTCAATACTAAACACTTATACGTAGTATAGCGTAGTAGAGTTCGTATCCACAGGGAAAGGAATGATTCTCTTTTTATGATACTTAGTAAATAAAAGGGGGGATTTGGATTGAGTGATTTAATTTAATTAAGAACTAAGATGAACAACCTATATGTGTTTAATTCAAAGATATAAAGGACTTGGCATTGCTACTTTCAATTTGTTGATATATTTTAGTCGATCATTGTTATATCTATAACTTATTCCCTCTCGAATACTCAATCGGGGAGTATATCCACTTCATCGAGGGTAGTTATTAACAACAACCGTTCATTAATAACCCTTACTATTAATCAAAATAGAACAACGCCTTATACCGATTTAATAGTAGCATTTAATCTTTCTAACTCCTTGATGAAATAAATTGAGATTGATAACCTCAACACAACGGTTTCGTTTTAACCAACAAAATTAATCTCTCTTAAGTTTATTAACCACGACCGTGCATTAACAAACCGAAGTTACTTACTTGTGAAAACATCAATGATTAACCATCGGTTCGTTGATCGTTTGTAGTAATAATTAATATATGAAACAAAACTAGTTGATCCTTTAAGTAGTGTTCAAAATATTAATATGAAATATGAGTAGGAATTAATTAATATTCAAGGAAGAATATTATTAAAGAAGATGAATCCTACTATAATTAATATCAAGATGTTAACTAATTGTCATCTTAGCAACACTCCCCAACATTAATATAGAGGAAGAAAATACCATTCTAACTAATGTTGATTTGTTAACTAATTGTCATCTTAGCAACACTCCACAACATTAATATAGAGATGGTATTAAGGAAAGAACTATTAATTAATATTCAAGGGAAAAGGTTAAGAAAATAACTCACAACTTTAATAATCAACAAGCTTCAAGAGCAACACCAAGAATGGAAGTTTAGTTCCTCATTTGGAGACTAAACATAGCTAGAAAAATATAAACAAATGCTATTCTAAACTGAGTTTAAGAGTATATAAGAAGGGATGATTTTTAAAGAAGAAAAAGTGTGCTATTTATAGGTGTTTTTCAACACCTTTGGCCGGGTACCCGACCGGGTCAAGTACTTACCCGACCGGGTCCGGTCAAAATCAGATAATCCGCCACGTTCTGGTGATCTTCGCACGTCGTTTTGTCCCGGGTCACATCTGACCCGACCGGGTCAAGTAGGGGACCCGACCCGGTCCAGTGACTTTCTTGGCAATTTCGTCTGTTAAATCATACCCGACCGGGTGGGGGTTTCTACCCGGTCGGGTTTTACTCCTGGGCAGTCAAATTTCTTGTTTTCTTCTTCAAAGTCTTCCTTTCCAACACCACAAATCCTAACTATACTTTACAACTTATAAAAAAAGACTAAAATACAATTACAACTGAAATCACATAAATGTTTACAAACTAAATAAAACGTCAAACAATCAACATAAATCAAACATAAAAACATATAATTATGCACTACTAATTAGTGTGCATCAACTAGATTTGCTTTAAGTGAAATTCATTGTACATTAGATGAAATTGTAATGTGCATTAGCTGAAATTGAAATGTGCAACACAAAGCGTATGATACAATGTCATTAAGTGAAGCTGAATTGTGCATTAGGTGAAATTGAAATGTGCACTAGGTGAAACTGAAATGTGCGAATAAAAGGTACGATGTGATGTTATTTTTGTACATTTTATTCCGCACATTTCAGTTTCACCTAATGCACAATTGTGTTTAAATTTTTATTCTGCACATTTCGGTATCATGTAATACACATTTCAGTTTCATCAAATGCACATTTCCGTTCCACATAATACAATCCAACGGTCTAGATTTATTCTTATTTCTCTCCTGGGA